AACAGTCTCCTCCAATGCCGACCTTCACGCCTTTCCAAAGTCGCAGGGAGCATCACCACCTGCAGCATGAGACAAAGTTCACGACGAACATAATGAGGTAGCTGATTAGAAAGAAGTTCCACAGCAAAACAATGAAGGCGTTGGATTTGTCGTACACTCATCTCTTGTCCATTGTTGATTAGCAAGAGATCCTATCACCTCGCTTGGCTATCCTTCTCCGTCCTCTGCGTCAGAATATTACCACTATTTTCAATTGCTATCCTCGAACAGCTGGTGGTTGGGGAGTGAAAATTTTATTTTCAAATGAGGATTTGGAGGAAGGCATCCACAAAGAGAATTCCTTCTGCAAATTTGTTGCAGATGTTTGAAAAATCGGTGCAAGAGGAAAGAAAATCTAGAATTGGGAGAATTGGATTAGGACTAGGAATGAGAATGGTAACGTTTTGTTAAACTCTTGTCGGCCGCACGAAAAAATACCGGCGGCCGACATAGGAATTGCCTAACGGCACAGCTCATGAGAGGCTGATCAAATTCTCACCAACCAAAGGTGATGCGTACCGAACGTCTCAGTGGACCACCATTCAGCGGTAGTTCAGATCACCGCCTTCTCCGAGCAAAAGTGCGTGGAAAAGAAGACCTGTCACCGTGTCAAACAAGGAACAAGGAACTTACAAGGGAAGGATGGTGACGACCCGCCAGGAGATGTATACCATAGGAATCTCTAGCAAAAATTTATCCTAAATCTGTTTTCCATATCTGCTGAACGACATTCCAGGAAGAACTGCACGCGTTTTTTCTGCTCAATTTCTTGTAAACGCTTGTCTAGCCGAACTATAGCAACGACGTCGGGCCAATGGATGGCGCAATGGTAGGTCTCTTGCGCGTAGGTCTTTTATAACAGGGTTCGAATTCTACGAGATCAGTGTTTTGCATTACTATATTTTAATTGCTGAATGTGTGTAGACCAACTTGACGCATCTTTATCCTTTATTTTTACAAAAAATGTGTAAAGCTAGCTGAGCTTGATAAGTGCTCATCGGTTATTTTTTTCATATATTCAAAAAAAATAAAGGATAGAGATGCATCAAAGTGCTTTGACACCTTCAGCAATTGGAAAACAATAATGCAAGACAAACTGATCTGACGTGATTCAAACCTGGTTGTGAAAAGCTGGCGCATAAGAGACTTACCACTGCGCTATCCGCTCGCTCGACGTTACTGAGTTAGTTTGTCTAGACATGCTTTCAGTAGAATTTGCGCAGGAAAAAACGCGTGCAGCTCCTCCCAGAATGCCGTTCAGCAGATATGGAAAACAGATTTGGGATACATTTTTGATAGAGATTCTTATCGTATACATCTCTTGGCGGATCGCCACTGTGACTCCGCATCCTTCATTTGTTAAACGCATTTCAAAAGGTACGTAGAGCAGCCTAGCAAGAAGATTTAAAAAGTGCAGACAATCGACTTTTGAAAACAGTGCAAGGGGAGAAGTTCGAGGAAGTACTGCCAACACTCTCTCAAATAACGTATTCCGTAACTGAATTACTGAACAAAGACGAGACTCGCACATCTTCTTGATAGAAGACGGGACCGATCACGGAGAGATTTCACAGTATCTTCTGCACATCAAACCCTTGTCCCCCACTATACAACTGATGGAGTAGCATCCCAAATTTTACCTGCTGAAGTACACATCACAGTTAAGACCAGAAAGGCAGCCACTGCTTCGGACACGTTTAGATGTGCAGGGCATCGCTTACACGAGATACTTGCGACGTTAACATCTTATCTTCGAAAAGAAGCTTTGCAAGCCTTCGTGGAGATCTCACTCGTGTTCAAAAACATTGAATGATGCCTAACCTTATGAGAAAGCTGGATTTTGCACAGGATTCAGTCGTGGAACACATTCAGACGGTTTCCAAGATTATCTAGGTTGGTGAGAGCATCGCCTACCTCTCATTCTAACATTTGCCAACTATGAGAAAGCATTCAAGAGCGTCTAGACTAAAGCTATACTGCCAGCGCTCTTCGGCCAAGAATCGACCCGTCTTTCTGAGGACACTGACCGAC